TGGGGGGGGGGGCATACCTATGTTAAGCTGCGCCCCCCCATTCCATCATTTTTTTTTTGGCACCCCCCTCCCCCCCCCCCTAATACAAACAAAAATCCCAAAACACTCCAAGAGACCGGGGGGGGGGACGCCAACTGACGCCAGGAGCCAAGAACTCAATCTGGGTCTCCCACGGAAGTGGCAGAGACCCAGCACTAGGGTCATCAACGGGCTGCCTCCCAGGGTCTGCCTTAGCAGGAAGCTGGACCAGAAGTGGAGGTGGGAGACCACCGTGGCGCACTTGGTTCATCCTCTGCCTGCGGCACCGGCATCTCATGTGGGTGCCGGGTTCTTGTCTCGGTTGCTCCTCTTCCTGTCCATCTCTCTGCTGTGGCCTGGGAGGGCAGTGAAGGATGGCCCAAGTGCTTGGGTCCCTGCACCTGCATGGGAGACTGGGAGGAGGCGCCTGGCTCCTGCCTTCGGACCAGCATAGTTCCGGCATCTGACTGTTTCGGCCGTTTGGGGAGTGAACCAGTGGTGGGAAGATCTCTCTCTCTCTCTGTCTCTCACTGTCTGTAACTCTACCTGTCAAATAATTAAAATCTTAAAAAAAAAAAAAAAAGTGGAGGTGGGACTCTATCCCAGGAACTCAGGTATGGAATGTGAGGCACCCCAAGCAGCATCATTTTTACTTTAAAAAAAAAAAAAGATTTCATATATTTTATTTGGGAAGTAGAGAGAGAGAGGTCCTGCATCCGCTGGTTCACTCCCCAAATGGCCACAACAGTCGGAGCTGCGCCGATCTGAAGCCAGGAACCAGGAGCTTCTTCTGTGTCCCCCATACAGGTGCAGGGGCCGAAGGACTTGGGCCATCTTCCACTACTTGCCCAGGCCATAGCAGAGAGCTGGATCGCAAGAGGAGCAGCCGGGACTCGAACCAGCGCAGGTATGGGATGCCAGCACTGCAGGAGGTGGAGTAACCTACTGAGCCATAGCACCGGCCCCAAGCAATATCTTAACCACTGTGCCAAATGCCTACCCCGGCCAACCTAATTCTAAGCCAGTCTCTCCTCAGCTTCAAAACACACCCCTTCCTTGATAATTTCTAAGTAGCCATGAATATCTGTAGCTCCAATATTCCTACCTTCCCGACCTGGGCCAAGACGACGGACTCGTGCAGTCACCCACACTGCACCTGTGTGTGAGCTGAGTCTCAGAGATAAGGACCATGCCTTTTTTCTTCTCCAGCCACTTGGCACATAGTAGGTGTTCAATTAAATACGAAGCGACTTGATTAAAAAGGAACATGCAAGGATCTCCCAGCATCTCTGCCACTGGAACACGTGAGCTGGCACCACTTACTGCTTCTGAGGCTCCACCCTTCTGCCTGATCGACTGCTCGTTCATTCACGTATGAAGAACAGCCTGTGGGAGTCTACTTAGGTAAACTGAGTGTCTAAATCTCCAGGGTCTCTCCCTAAAGAGAGACCTTGTTGGTTACCATGCAGACCCCAGGACCAGCTGTGGGGTTGACCCTAAGGCTGGGGGAGAATTAGTGAGTGGGAACCCCCGGCAGATAGTACAGAGCACAGTGCTCGTAGGTTTAAGATGACAAGGCATTAGTAGGAGACTACTTCAAAAACTTTGGGCCAAAGTGGAATTAAAAGTTTATTTTGGGGGCCGGCACTGTGGCGTAGCAGGTAAAGCCACTGCCTGCAGTGCTGGCATCCCATATAGACGCCGGTTCGAGTCCCGGCTGCTCCTCTTCCGATCTAGCTCTCTGCTACGGCCTGGGAAAGAAGTAGAAGCTGTCCCAAGTCCTTGGGCCCCTACACCCGCGTGGGAGATCCGGAAGAAGCTCCTGGCTGCAAATCAGCGCAGCTCCAGCCATTGCAGCCAATTGGGGAGTGAACCAGTGGATGGAAGACCTCTCTCAGGCCGGCGCTGCGGCTCACTAGGCTAATCCTCCGCCTTGCAGCGCCAGCACACCGGGTTCTAGTCCCGGTGGGGGCGCCGGATTCTGTCCCGGTTGCCCCTCTTCCAGGCCAGCTCTCTGCTGTGGCCCGGGAGTGCAGTGGAGGATGGCCCGAGTACTTGGGCCCTGCACCCCATGGGAGACCAGGATAAGTACCTGGCTCCTGCCATCAGATCAGCGCTGTGCGCCGGCCGCAGCAGCCATTGGAGGGTGAACCAACAGCAAAAGGAAGACCTTTCTCTCTGTCTCTCTCTCTCACTGTCCACTCTGCCTGTCAAAAAACAAAACAAAACAAAAAAGATCTCTCTGCCTCTCCTTCTTTCTCTGTGTAACTCTATCAAATAAAACATGTTTTATACAAATATGTTTTGTGCAAAATATGTTTTAAATCCATGCACAGCTTTTTCATAATACACATTTTCATGAATTTTTTTTACAAGTTTATTATGCATTTTCACCTACTAGAAAGGCAAAGCAACGGGGAGAGAGATCTTCCATCTACTGGTTCACTCCCCAGATGCCCACAACAGTCAGGCCTGGGCCAGGCTGAAAGCAGGAGTCAGGAACTGCATCCAGGACTCCCACATGGGTGGCAGGGGCCCAAGGACTTGAGCATCATCTACTCCCAGGGTGTACTAGCAGGAAGCTGGGTAGAAAGCAGAGTAGCCGGGATTTGAACCAGCATTCAGATATGGAATGTGTGCATCCTAGGGTCAGTTTAACCTGCTGGGCCACGACATCTGCCCCCCCCCCATTATGTATGGCTCTCAATATTTGTTTTGCACCAAAATAAACTTTTATTTTAATTCCACATTCTACAGACATTTTGAAGTACCCTTGTATAGCAATACAAATGGTAGCTCGGGGCCGGGCATTGTGGCTTTAGTAGGGTTAAGCTGCTGCCCGAGATGCCAGCATCCCCTATTAGAGTGCCAGATTGAATCCCAGCTGCTTTGCTTCTGATCTAGCTCCCACTACTGTGCCTGGCAACGCAGCAGAAGATGGCCCAAGCAGTTGAGTCCCTGCCACCCAGATGGGAGACCTGGATTTAGCTCCTGGCTCCAACTTGGCCTAGCCCTAGCCATTGCAGACATTTGGAGAAGTAACCAGCAGATTGGGGACTGGGGTAGTCTTTCTGTGTCTCTCAGCTGTTCAAATAAAAATTTAAAAAAGATTTGTTTATTTAGTTGAAAGAGTTAAAGAGACGGGGTGGTGGTGGTTGGGCGTGGAGAGAGACAATATTCTTTCTGCTGGTTCACTCCTCAAATGGCTGCAACAGCCGGGGCTGGGCCAGGCCAAACCCAGAAGCCAGGAGCTCCACCCAGGTCATCCCTGTGGGTGGCAGGCGCCTAACCACTGCTTTCCCAGGGGCATCAGCGGGGAGCTAGATCAGAAATGGAGCAGCTGAGATTCCAACTGGTGCTCATATGGACTCCGGCATTGCAGGCTGCATTTTTGTAAATATTTATTTATTTGAAAGTCAGAGTTACACACACACACACACACAGATCTTCCATTTGCTGGTTCACTCCCCAGTTGGCCGCAATTGCCGGAGCTGCAGTCAGAAGCCAGGAATTTATTTTGGGTTTCCTACATGGGTGCAGGGGCCCAAGCACTTGGACCATCTTCCACTGCTTTCCCAGGCCATAGCAGAGAGCTGGATCGGAAGTGGAGCAGCTGGGACTCGAACTGGCACCCATATGGGATGCCGGCACAGCAGGCAGTGGCTTTACCTGCTATGCACCACAGCACCGGCCCCACAGGTGGCATTCTAACCTGCTGTACCACAACGCCAGCCCCCATTTCAAATAATTTTAAGAAAGTAAAGACATCCAGAAAAAGAGGTACCCCACACCCCGTCCTCTAGTCTCACATGCAGCACCTGCAGTGCTCAGCCTACCCGTTTCCACTGCAGTGTCTGGACACAGCCTCCCCCGTTCTCCCTGGGATGCCCAGGCCAGACACTGAGTCAACCGCTGCACCCCCACGGGTGCGTGCATGAAAGAACTCGGGACTCTCTCCAGAAAGAAGTCGGTGTCCCCGGCACCCGGATCTGAAGCCACTCACTTCGTCATGCACACAGTGGCCGTCTAGCAGCCCAGCAGCTGCTGCTGTCTCTGTCCCCTGTCTTCCCTCCCTTTCTCCAGCAACCCTGCAGGCGCTGTCTCTTTCTCAGTTATGCATTCATTTCCCTCCGTCCTTACTGGTCGCACCCTGCAGCCACATGCCTGGCACATACACAACCCGCCCTTGGCAGCGGGCGCTTCTCTCAGATCTCTCTCTCTGAACCCTTCCAAGTCCTTCCAATGGCCCCAGGGAGTCGGTTCCGGTCCTCAGTTTACAGAGGCAAAACCAGGAAGCAATTCCAGGACCGGCCCTGGCGTGGAGTCAGGGAGTGGGTTAGGTTGGTGGCCATATGTTTGGAATCCTCTCTTAAGAATTGTTTCTAAGGAAAGTGAGTCTCCACCCATGAATTTGAATTGTTAACTTACGATATTTTTTTGTTATTGTTAAACAGCTAAGCCAAATACTATGCATGTAATTTGAATTTGGTGAGAAGACACAGTGCATGATTCAAGTTCTGTGGCAGACCATGGGTGGTACACTGGGGCTCATAAAATAAGTAGTTTCTTTGGAGAAAATACTCATGTTAAATTGAGGGTGACCCACATCGGGAAAAATGTAGCTTTTTTTAAAAGTTTCTCAGTAGCCTCTCAAGTGAAGCCCTCTCTTTCCATTCCTTCTCCTCTTCTTCTTACTCCTCCTCCTTCACTTTTTTAAAAAGGATTTATTTATTTATTTGAAAGGCAGAATTACAGAGAAGCAGAGCAAAAGAGAGAGGTCTTCTATCTACTTCCAAATGGCCACAACTGCTGGAGCTGAGCTGATCTGAAGCCAGGAGCCAGAAGCTTCTTCTGGGTCTCCCGCCCATGTGGTTGCAGGGGCCCAAGCACTTGGGCCACCTTCTGCTGCTTCCCCAGGTCCATTAGCAGGGAGCTGCATCAGAAATGGAGCAACCAGGACTCGAACTCGCGCCCATGTGGGATGCTGGCACTGCAGGCAGCAGCTTTACCAGCTACGCCACAAAGCCAGCCCCAGCCTTTTTCACTGTAGAGCGTTTTCATTGCTGCTTCTGTCACAGGCACGTGATGACAGCTGACTCCCTTGCTGTAGAAAGCTGAGAATAAAGAGCATTTGCCGGTTCTCACTTGAGTGGTCTCTGTCGATGTTCAGAGTTTTCCTGGTGTTCCCAGGACACCAGCACGAGCACTGCTTGTGGCCGAGGCCCCCAGCCTCCCCCCAGGCACAGTGCCCTCGGAGGCCCTGGGCCTCACTGCCGTGGCCTCTCCAGTGAGTGGCTGTGGCCGTCTGAACACCTCTCTCTCAGTGTTGAGTTTCGTGGCTCTACCTGGGTTTTGTTCCTGATTCCCATCGGTTTGGCATCTCTGGCAGAATCAGGCCATTCCTTTTGAGCTCCCCACTCTGCTGCATTGTACACGGCTGTTTTGTGCTGTGCCATCTGTCCTAAGAAAGAAAGTCCTTGTGGAACACAAGCATAGGCCCAAAGAGAGCCTGTTTGAATTGGCCTCCCAGGCCAAGTCAGCGCTTCTCATCACACCGGTGTCTCCTTGGACAGACTTCGCCGTGGTCACCAATAAAACTGCACACAATCCTCCTTTGGTCCCGATTTTGTGTCCCAAGAGACAGGAGCATGGCGTTCCTCCCCCGCTGTGGCCAGCTGGCTCTGGAGGTGGGGTCTGAGTTGAAATCCTCTCTGACTCCAGCCAAAACGCCTGCTCCCTGCGTGCACTCTCTTTGTAATCCCACGTCTTGTGCCCTTCTCTGCCAAGCACCACCTTCATCAGGGACCACCGAGGCCTGCTGGGACCACTCTGCTCGCTCGAGAGATGCCTCGGAGAAGAAAGGGCAGATTTCCAGGCCCCGTGGGCAGCGTGTTTTGAAAGTCATTAGGAGTCAGAGGTCTCCCAACGCAATTCTGCTCCAAAAATTGCTTCCCCGAATGTTTCTTTGGCCAAGGCTAATGAGCACTTAGACAGACTTAAACAGCCACACACGGGCCTGCTTTTCCAGCTAAGTCCTTCCCGGCTTGTCCTCCTGTGGCCTCCCTGAGGTCAGCTCTCCCTCTCCCTGAGTCCTTTGGGCCTCCTCTCTTTCCACATGTCTGTCGCAATCTGCTTTTCTTCCCTTTGTCTAGATCCCTACCCTCTCCCACCAACTCTCCTAAGACCCTCAAATGCCAGTTCCCTCCTTAAACATCCGTCCCTCCCACAAGCCAGGGATGCAGGCAATTGTAGAATGTAAGCCTTGGACCAAACTGAACTGAGAACTATGATTAAGGAATTACCCAACCCAAGCAAGACCAGCAAGTATTCCGAGAATAATTGGGAGGTTGGGGTGTGGTGTGTGTTTGTGTGTGTGTGTGAGACCAAGGGTTACCACCCTGACATCGGCTTGTGCCTGTGTCAGTCAGGACCTTGAATGCTAAATCCCAAGTGGCAAAAGTGACCAGGTTCACCCAGGAAAGTTCCTACAGAACCCTCTGTCACCTGAAAGTCCACACAAAGACAACACACTGAGCAAAGTCTCCTAAAAGTCGTATCTAGAGGGCCAGCACTGTGGCTTCGTGGGCCAAGCCTCTGCCTGCGGTGCTGGCATCCCATATGGGCCTGGTTTCAGGCCCAGCTGCTCCTCTTATGATCCAGCTCTTTGCTTGTGGCTGGAAAAAGCAGTGGAAGAAGGCCCAAGTGCTTGGGCCCCTGCACCCATGTGGGAGACCCAGAAGAAGCTCCTGGCTCCTGCTTTTGGGTCAGCCCAGCTCCAGCCATTGCGGCTATTTGGGGAATGAACCAGTGGATGGAAGACCTCTCTCTGTCTCTCCCCCTCTATCTGTAACTTTACCTCTCAAATAAAGGAATAATTTTTTAAAAATGTTGTACCTAAAGCATCTCCAATAAAGATGGGCCATAATTCAATCATGTGATCAGATGACCCTGTACGAAATTTTCCAAGATAGGCTGGAAAACACATCGCAGTGTTTGGGATTGTTCACAAAGCAACCCCTGTGTCTTTTGTCCATGAAGTTAAACCTCAGATTGGAGACCTAACTTGAAAACATCAATGAGAACAGGAAGCAGCCCCTTTACTTGAACTGCAACACCCACCCCGGACCCTTAACAGGGCTAAGAACACGAACGAGACTGGACATGAATCTGGCTTGTGGACCTCCAGATCAGACAGCGAGGTACCTGCACCACAACCCACCACTCACCGACAAGGACCCTTGTGGACAAGGGAACAGATGCTGGAGGAAAAAAGACATCCCATGTCACACAAGGAGAACCAAGACGTTGAAGGAGGAAGAGGCATCCATGTCTTGCCGGTCCCCGCACACTCAAGGTGAATTAGCCATGAGTACCATGTGGGGAACCCCTCCCCCCCAGGCTGCTGCTTGGAGGCATGAGTCTGCAGAAATGCATCCTTTCACTGCTCTGAGGCCAGCAGCCCAAGGTCAAGGTGTTAGCCAGGCCGTGTTCCCCGTGAAGGTTCATGGGGAGGATCCTTCCCGGTCTTTCCCTGGCTCTGGTGCTCGCTGGCAAGCCGTGGCGTTCCACGGCCTCTAGACGTGACACCCAGTGTCTGCCTCTGCTTTCAGGCAGCTCCTCTGTGTGTCTCCCTCATGTCTGCAGTTCCTTCTTCTAAGGACACCAGCCATTGGATTCTGGCACACCCTGATGCAGCATGACCCAACATTGAGTTGATCACATAGACGAAGACTTGGTTTCCAAGTAAAGTCAAATGTGCAGATTCTGGGGGTGAGGACTTGAACTTTGTGGAGGACACAATGTATCCACCACCGATGGCAACCTCCTCAACTTCTTTTGTTTGCAAGATTTATTTATTAGAGAGAGATCAAGAGATCGAGAGAGAGAGAGAGATCCTTCCATCTTTTAGTTAACTCCCTAAATAGCCACCACAGACAGTCCAGGCTGAAACCAGGAGCCAGGAACTCCATCTGGGTCTCCTACGTGGGTGGCAGGACCTGGCACTTGGGCCTTCCAGATGCACCAGCAGGAAGCTGGTTCAGAGGCAGAGCAGCTGGGACTCGAACTGGCGCTCCAATATACGGGATGCCAGCATTGCAAGTGGCAGCTTCATCCACCGTGCCCCAAGGCCGGCCCCAGACTCATCCATTCCTGGTAGAAACAGGCACTACTCTTTCTACATCTATCCTACCTCTTTCTTGGAATACTCAGACGACCCAAATGGAAAGCATTTCAAAGAAATGTCTGGATCTTCTCGTCCCCAGCTCTTACCTGTCAGCCCCAAGCCCTTGATGGCAAAAGCTCCTCCCTGCTCTGGGACACAGGGCCCGCGAGCTTCCTCAGGACAGACTCACTTAGCACTGGAACCATGGCCCTCTCTTTCCATTGCCTTCCCCCTTCCTTCTGTTCCTCCTCCTTCACTTAAAAAAAGATTTACTTATTTGAAAGGCAGAGTTGCAGAGAGAGAGAGAGAGAGAGAGAGAGATCTTCTATCCACTGGTTCGCTCCCCAAATGGCTGCAATGGCCAAAGCTGGACCAACCCGAAGCCAGGAGCCAGGAGCCTCCTCTGGGTTCCCACATGGGTGCAGGGGCCCAAGGACTTGGGCCATTTTCTACTGCTTTCCCAGGCCACAGCAGAGAGCTGGATCGGAAGAGGAGCAGCTGGGACTCCATCTGGCGCCCATATGGGATGCCGGCACTGCAGGCAGATATGTAACCTACTATGCCACAGCACCAGCCCCCCAAGAAGCTCTTCTCAGGCATTTTAAGGGAAGGAGACGCTGACTAACTCAGTGTCTCTGTCTTTGAAGTGAGTTCTGAGCCTCCTGGGACTGGATTAGCTACCATGAGAGTTAGGTTGTTGGAAAGTGAGGCTGCCCTCGTGTGTTCTTCTTGGACACACACTCCCTGGCCCTTGTGATTGCCACCCAGAGTTGAGGCAGCAGGAGGCCCCCACCAGAAGCTGAGCAGGTGTCAGCAGGGTGCCCTTGGACTTTCCCCCACACCCCAAAATAAACCCCATTCTCTTACAGATTACCCAGTCTCAGCTATTCCGTTCCAGCAAAAAGGACCAAGGCAGTGGGAAAACATTCCTTCCTGATAGGCCAAAACCATCCAAGCGTTCCGCGGCTCCTCGCTAAACCACAGCTGAGAGGACTGCCAGGCTTGGCTGGATGCCGCAGACCACGGGTGCCAGACTGTCCTGGGATTGTTCTCAGGAAGAGGCGCTTTGCTCGGGGAGCCAGCCGTGAACCTGAAGAAGGCTCCTCAGAGACCGCCTTTCCCCAGACACTGTGGCTGTTTTGTGCGTGAGTGCGCTGGACAAGGTCTTTTGGTTTCCCGGGAACTGCCTGCATCTACCACTTCCCCATGCCTCGCCCTTGGCTCGGGTGCAGCGTTTAGCCGCTCTGGCTTAGCTCCGCTGCACATCTTGTTGCTTCTGCTAAACCACTCCAGGCTTCCTGCCTGACCTCAGGGTTCCGCAACCAGCGAGCTGTTCCCAAGGCCTGAGGACACGTCTCAGCAGCTGACTCATCTCTGGATCCCCAACAGCAGGAGAGCCTCACCGTGGTCCCTCTGGATCTCTGTGATAGCCCCGACCCGAGACTTAGGTGCTGATGAATTTGTATGTCCAGGCTGACGCTGGAAGTTATCAAGTAGGGGATACCGTCACTAATCCAAGTTCTTTTTATAGTCCTCAACCTCCTTTGCACATCGATCTCAATGAGTGGCTGCCCTCACCATAGCTTGTCAACTAGCCAGAGACCAGAGAGCACACATACACGGGGCGGGGGGCACACCTGCTTTCCCAGCAATGCAGAACTTATGCATGCTGGAACCCCCGCCCAAATGAACTGCAAGCGAAGCACCTTTGAGAGTACGTCTAATGACTACAGAGGTGACTGTTTTCAAAGGGCGGGGCCTTAAAAAAGAGGTAAGATTGAAGCTAAAGGAAACCCTGTCACAGGTCCTTACGTCAAACACGCAGCCTTAGCAGCAACCACAATGAAATCCCCCGAGAGAGTCAGAGCGGCCCGGGAAAATGCAAATGTGCAGCCCCTGATTCTGCAAAGGAAGTGTAATGGGAACCAGCTGACAGTACCCTTCGCTCCAAGAATCTCAGAAGGAAGA